CCTCCCAGAGTGCTAGGATTATAGGCGTGAGCCACCGCGCCTTTTAATCTCTGTCCTGGGATGTCACGACGTCTCTGAAACATCAGCTTTTCTCCGTGCTTAGACTTGAGTTTTGAGGAGGTGCTGGCCGGGTCAGCATCCATTTTCTACTCCAGAGAACATTCGCTCAGCGATAGTGGTTTGAGTGCAGTGTGTGCCAGGCACTTTGTTAGGCATGAGAAAAACGAAGTCGCTGCTGTCTTGGGGTTCACAGGCTAGCAGGACCAGAGTGGCTCTCTCTCCCTCAGGGCTTAGCTACCCTCTCCTCAAAAGTTGGTCAGCGCCGTTGTTTCAGGCTCAAAGTCTGCTCTCCAGGTCCGTGTAGATATTAAGCCAGGTTTGAAGAAGCCATTTTTTCAGTACCACCTACACTGGAGCCGGAAAGAAATGTTTTCTTTGCTGGCTTTTCCGAGTATCACGCACTCAGTTCCTGCTCCTCAGCCTGCACCTCCTTCCCTCCACCCACCTTTGACTTCATGGGGTGTCTTATGTCAAGCGAATACCAGGACAAAAAACGGCACCTCCACGCCCGGCTTCAGGCTACAAAGCGTTATGTACAATTATACTCATTATGGGGCCTGTCAGGCTTCGCAGGGGCCCATTGAGGAGCCAATTAGGATTTCACAGATCAGTAGCTCCTCATTAGGGAGCTCTTAACAAAGCAACACATTTTCATTTCTCATAAAGACGTGTCATCAAGTGCTAAGGCCAGTTGAGTCGCCGCACGGCTGCCAGAAGCACCCCCCAAACCGCGAGCTCCTTCCACCCAGAGTTACACTGAGGGCATGCAGTGAGAACCCACCTGCAGACTGGCCTTCCTCCCCAGGCATTTTGCTACAAATATTATTCTATTCACAGGAGGCTGGCCTCATTCCCAAGGCAAGGGGGTAAATATCACAAATTTTGCATCAGCTTGACAGAAACCCAAGGGCACAGCAACAAGCTTGCTCCTAACTGGTCCTCATCACAGGGAGATGCTCTCAAAGCACCTTTTCATCTTGGTTGATCCTATAACAACTTGTGCAATGGGGGGAAATGCCTTCTTCTCAGTTTCACAGGTGAGGAAACCAAAGCACAAAGGGAAAAAAGCAATCTCCCCAAGGTCACAAGGCGACGGGGGGAAAGTTACAGGGACCAGAACAGTTTCCGACAGCCTCTGCACTTCCTGCAAAGCACGTGGTTTTGCACTTCGTCCATCTCACTGTGCTCTCCCCCCGCAGATGCTGCGTTTCTGGCCCGAGAGAAGGCAAAGGCCGACGCCGAATGCTACACTGCTATGAAAACAGCCGAGGCAAACAAGGTAAAGGGCCCGCACGGCCCGATGAAGCGGTGTCTCAGGGTTTGGGTATATGTTGCTTGAGAGTGCCCAGTGCTGAATGCCCACCGCCACCCAGAGGCCCTCGTGGCCAGAACTGAGGACTCCTGTGCCGTGTGGGACAGGTGCTTCCCTTTCCCTGAGCAGTGCCTTGTTTAATTTTCATGTTAAATGTGGGAACTTTTGAAACTCTTGCAACTGTCTAGAAGATCTGAGATTTCTTTCTTTTAGAGAAATGATTACCCTGTTACTAATGTAACAGTGAGACCACAGAAAGTAAATGGAGGCACCAGTCTTTGACAGACAGCCTCTCCATAGGAAAATCAAAGGGGTGCCACCACAAAATGTCTCTAATATGGTTCCACCTAAGTCTTCCTTCCTTTCTTTTTTTTTTTTTGCAGCTGAAGCTGACCCCCGAATACCTGCAGCTGATGAAGTACAAGGCCATTGCTTCCAACAGCAAGATTTACTTTGGCAAAGACATTCCTAACATGTTCATGGACTCTGTAGGCAGCCCGGGCAAGCAGTCCGAGGGGCTGGCTGACAAGCTGAGCTTCGGCTTAGAAGATGAGCCCTTGGAGTCGGCCACTGCGGAGAATTGAAAGTTTTATACAACCTCAGTTGACACTTAATGAGATCTTTATTTTTTAAGATGAACCAGAATGCTCCCCCCTCCCACACTACCTTCTTTGACGCTCTTCAAGTTACCGTGGTGAAAAAGAAGAAACGGACTTAAATCCACTCGCCCTCCTGGGAAGGGAGGGCGGGAATTGATGATTTGGGATTTTATTCAGGTAAGTAGGTTATATGACTTCTGATAAGATTTGTAAACTATGTGTTTGAACCTTTGCCTCCCAGACACTAATTTGTCCTTTGAAGCTGGCTTAATCAGGGATGCTGTCGTTAAGGGCAGGGAGAAATGTAGAGTGTTGCCTCCCTGTGATCTGATTTCCCTTATTTGGAAAAATGCAGCCCAGTGTTCTTCCCCTGCTTCCAGGGTGGGAGATGCCTGTGGGTGAGGCTCGGCCACTGAGAAACATGTGCTTATAAGTTTGCCAGAAGAGCTTAGAGCGACAGCTGCAGACGTTTGACCCTCCTGGCATTTTTGTCAGCGTATGTGTGAGTTATTTTAGAGGCATGCTTTCTCGAGCCCTCATAAGCAAGTACTGGTGCTAGGTTTTGCAAGATTTTCTATACGCTACGCTCCTTGCCCTAGGGCTCAGAGTGGTGGTTTTGACTCCATCTGTAGAGTCAGAGCTTAGTCACCACCACACAATTCTTCTTGAAACTTATCACCTATTCTGTGATTTGGATTTTTCTTCTCAAATAATCTGTCCAGTGGTCCCACTCAGCATCAAGAAGACAGAAACAAACAACTCGAGTGTCTTAGTAGCTGCCGAAGTGGGATCCTTAGAGCTGTTAGTCACTGCAGTACCTGCTTGGCAGATTACGTAGGTACCTTGAGAGCAGTGTCTTTATTGTGGATTCTACAGTGAAGAGCTCTGGCACCGTGTGTGGAGGAGGATGAAGGGTCAGCCAAGAGATTTCCTGGACTTAATGCCTATGGCTTGTGCTGGGAGTTTGTCTGACACAGAGATAAAGGCAGGCCTCTCCTCTAAGTAGCCTGTGTTTTTAAATCTAGGGCTCCAGGCAGCCACACAGAGGTCGGACTGAATGTTAATTCTCCAGAGACAGCTGTGTAGATGCAAGTCGGAGTTCATGCCCAAGTCCCTGGGTTTGAATGGCGGCATCAAAGTCCATTCAGAGTGTTTTATTTTATTTTTCATCACTGGTTAGGAAAATTTCAAGTCACTCTGGGATATTCAGGATGGGGGAGCAAACATAAAAGAAAGGTTTTTCTTATATCCTGAAGTTGGGGGTAGGGGCAGTATGGGTAGGGGGATCCATCCAGTGTAGCCCATGAGTTGTGTACGGAATTGTTAAGTGGAAGGCGGCTCTCTGGAGTAAACTAATAACCATATTGGTACCCTCCATGACCAGCTCTGGCTTGGGATTTGGCCTTGTTATTAGCTACCCCACCCCCTCAAAACTCCTACTGTACCCCTCTTCCCAAGGCGAACACTATGAAGGATACTTTCTGGCACCAATCCCCACCTCCTTTTTGGTCTCATGCCCAGATTTCTGGTTTACTGAATGGTCCCAGAACTTGGGCCAGCTTGCTTAGGAGTTTGGGGAGCTTTTAGCCTGCCTAGAAAGATACAGTGTTAACTCCCCTTGCTTCAAATGTTGCCCTTCTCTGTTCTAATTCCTGGGACTTAGAATTCTCAAACCACAGGTCCTGGTCACACTTCGTGCAGGCAGCAAGATGTTCCTGGGAGTTAATGTGCTCAAGAGTCCTTGCAGAAGGTGGTCAATTTCCTAAACTCAGCGTAGGGTAGCCATTATTAAAATATATTCATCCTCCTCCTGTTTCAGTCCATTAATCACTTGCTAGGAGCAACACGACATGCCCAGCATTGCCTAATCACATACACGTTTGCTCCTTCTACTCCGAGCTCTTGCTGCCTGGGCCTCAGAAAACACCAGTTTGCCACAGTATCTGCAATGAGGAGAATCAGGAGCGGGGTATGTCAGCCTCTCTGAATAGTATGCTTTGCTCAGGTTCTGAACTTGAAAGCTTCTCGGGTACTAACGTCCTGTCATAGCTCATCCCTTGACCACAAAAGAGCCTCAGTACAGTAAAGTCCTGCTACAGCTGCCCCTCTATGTTAATGTCACTTCCTCTTTAAACAAAAAATACAAATGTCGCTGTACCCATTAGTGTAAACCCAATGGTTGTCTGTACCCGTCTGAACAGTAAAATCATGGAAGTCAGCTATTTCCTTAGCACGGGACATTGAACCCATCGTCTGTGTGACTTTGTTTTTTTTAACACTTATTAGCAAATCTGATCTTAAAACATTTGGATTCTAAACATGTAAAATGTGACAGCCTGCAATTTTGTAGACAGTGAAGTAATGGCTGCTATTTATAAAGGGAACTTCTATCAAAATAAGTAACTGTTTATAAAATTCAGTTTTTGTAGGATTCTCCAAGGAAAAGTCACCTTGGCTGAATGTTTCTCATTAAACTTTGCAGAAGCAATTCATATACGGTACTGTTTTTAATCGCTTTTTAATATAAGGACAGAATGTTTGCAAGGAAGCCAAAGTTTATTAATAATTTTTATATAACTCAAATAAAATAGATTTGGAGGGATCTGTGATCATATTAAGGTGGGGGCAGGGGGATCACTGGAAGAATCTTAGCAATATATTGATTCAAAAAAAGAGATGAGATGTTTTACAAATGATCTTCAGCTGTTTCCATGGATCTGTGTATCTGTCAACACTGATACCTACCATTTAAAGAGAGTAAATAGTGAAAGTAAGATGGTAATATTTACTGACTTTGTCTATTTACGTTTGTATTTCGGCTAGTGGCTACTGTGTCTATGAACTTAACCACTATTTCTTTAGTTCTATTCAATATAGTTCTAGCCACTGTTTTTGTTATTTCCTTATAAAAGAGGTAATAGCCAATCATTTTGTGTTTGTATTTCCATTCCTTTTTATTTCTGCTTTTGTGTAGTCTGATGATTGGAGAGTCAAACTAATTCTACTTTCAAAGAGCTCCCAGGGTGTAATGACCCCCCGTTTGTAACAGAAATGATCCTTGTTTTAGTAATAATCCTGTAAATGATACTGCTGGATTCATTGTCTTGAATTAATAGCTGGAGAAATTGTTTTGTACAACACTAAAGGTCTTATGTGAATTTATGTCTTAGTTTTATTTTCAGTCTTGCTAATAAAATGAGTCTTTGTATTTCCTTTTTTATTAAAGTGAAATTTAGCAATAGCTAATATTAGGATAGGCGATACAGAGAAATAAAACATAGCTGACTAGTGAGTTAAGTACAACATCTCCCTAAAAATATATTCAGATGAAAATCTATCCACATTATCAGTATGGAAACAATAAAAAACTAACTTGTGAACATGGCATAATTCTTGGTAGGTGTTATAGAGATTTATCATTTTAAATAATTCATACACCACTAAAATTCTGTTCCAAAGGGCAGAGATATTTTCAATTGACCCAAAACTCATATTTATATCAATTCAGTGGGGAAGTCTCAGTCTCTGCTCTGGAAAGCTGCCCAGCCTAGGGTTGCCAGGTAAAATGTAGGATGCCCAGTTAAATGTGAATTTACAATAAATGAGAAATAATTTAGTGTAAGTACTGTTTGTCCCAAATATTGCATGAGACATATTTATGCTAAAATAAAATTTGTTGTTTATCTGAAATTCACATTTATCTGGGTATCTTGTATTTTTATTTGTTAAGTCCAGCAACCCTAGCCCAGGCTTTCTCATATTTTGTAATGGGGCTCCCAATCTTTCTCTATGGGTTTGAGAACCTCCTACACAAATAATACGAACTTATTAATATAATTGAATAGGTAAGTTAAGAGTATAGTTACTGGAGTTAGACTGCCTAAGTTCAAATCACTGCTCTACTACTTTCTAGGAGTGTGGTCTTGAATAAGTTTTTTAACCTCTCTAAGCCTCAGTTTCTTTATCTATAAAATGGGTTGAGTGGATTATACGAAATAATGCCTATGAAGGGTTTTAGCACTGTGCGTGGCATGTTTATGTTCAAAAATACCTTATCTTCAATCTGAGAAAATGGGCTAGATAGCACACAGCTATTAAGTGGGTATCACAAATGGAAAGTCAAGCAAATGTGAAAGATAAAATTACAAATAGGTAGCACATAGAGGAAGCAGGGAACGACATTGCCATGCAGCAAACACAGTATTAGAATACATACCTCTACGGAAATGCAGCGCATCGAAAATAAGCTGGTTTGGCCGTGTTGAGAAGAATTGTTCAGATTTGGGTTCCAATTAAGGAAAAAAAAAACTCAAAAAGGCTAGAAAGAAAACAGAATGTTAAAACCTTTTTGGGGGAAAAAGTAGATAAGAAATAAAGCTCATGGGGTTAACCCCAGAAAGGCAAAAGGGAAATTTAACAACTTCACATTTATAAAAAGTTGTGTAATGGTCAGCTAGCTATTTTCTAGCTCCCAGGGACCAGAGAAGAGGAAATTAGCTTGAAGAATGGAGTATTTTAAAAGAATTTACTTAAGATCAGGCTAGCTAAAGTTTGAAATGGGGAGAAGTAGTTATCTGCAAATAGAAAATAAATAAATCCGGGGATTAGCGTGGATAACATTTCTTCTCTGACGGTCTTCAGAAATTGGGAAGATTCTGTGCTATTTGGGATGGTTTAAATGTCATTCTTTCTATATGAAAGATCAAATGATCTCTAAAGGTCCTTCTGAGGTCTAGGGTTCTAGAATCTGTATTGACATTTCAAAAGCCAGATGTGACAGCATGTTTACAAAGGGATTGGTGTCATGGGCTACTCTGCCTGAACTCATTTAAACCGGGACATGGGCATTATTTCTCCATTTCTCTTCAGAGCTAAGTAACCAGGCAACAGTAATTTTCTATTATTTTATCTTTTTTTTTAATCCCCCCAAAAGAATCACAGTAGGCTCAGAAGGAAACAATTTTCAAATCCATATATGTTTTTCTCATAATTCCGGGCCTTGGACTACAGAGGTGAATGTTTTAATAGCTTGATGGCATTTATGGTGAATAAGTATACTAGGCTTTAGATCATTTATAAAATCTGTTCCTCTGGGTATTTGGCTTTCTAATCAATTTCTCTTTTCCCCTTTGTCCTTGCAAATTTTTGAAGCAATTTAAAGACAATTACAGATGATGAAGGGATTTTGGACTTGGATTGTTCAAGATTAGGTAGTAGGGGAGAATGAAAGGTTAAATTGGACAGTTGATGTCCCAGGAAGAAGACAAGGAACTAAAAAAGAAAATAAGAGGAAGTTAAAAAGTGAAATAAAATTGGTTCAAAAGTAAAACCATGAAGTGAAGAAATTAGAATGTGAAATAGTCATGGGACTGGGGTCACCATGATCTTTTTGTCTCTACTTCCATTTTCATAAGATGTCATAGAATGTTAGAGATGAAAAGTATCTTAGAAATAAATCCACAATGGGCCAGGCGAGGTGGCTCACACCTATAATCCTGGCACCTTGGGAGGCTGAGGCAGGAGGATTGCTTGAGGCCAAGAGTTCAAGACCAGCCTAAGCAAGACCCCATCTCTCCAGAAAAAAGAAAAATTACCAGGGCATGGCGGCATGGGTGTGTAGTCCCAGCTACTTGGGAGGCTGAGGCAGGAGGATCACTTGAGCCCAGGAGTTTGAAGTTGCAGTGAGCTATGATAATGCCACTGCACTGTAGCACCAGGCAGCAAAGACCTTGTCTCAAAAAAAAAAGAAAGAAATCTACAATAAAGCCATCCTAGTCTTTCCCATGGTTCCTTTATAGAGTAAAGCCTCAATAAATGTTCGCCTTGTAATTCAAAGAAGAGAGACCTGATCTATTAAATGAAGGTACAACTACTTGTCACAGTGACACAATGACTTGTCATGTCAGGTGACTACTTATCACCAGGATTACTGTCATCTGGATTATACATTCCATAGATCTGTGAGGTATATGTGGTTTTAAAATGTTTTCCAAATAGCATATCACTTAAAGTGTTATATTTCATACTCCCCCAGTCCTTCCTCCACACATCCCTTTACCATGATCTCCTTTGTTCATCGCACCACTTACTCCTGGCTAACTCCCTCCAACCTTGTATCTCTACAGCAAACATCTGTTATGCTGACACCACGAAGGATTGTTGTGGTCATTTTTTAATTTTTATCACTTTTTTTGGAGTAGAAATGTATCAAGACCAGAGACATTTTATCTGAACACAATTACTCATAATGTCTTCAGCAATCCTACTTTTACAGATAACCCAGTTATGTTTACCATAGTAAATAACCAGAGACTTCCCAAAAAGTAGTCCCTTACTGCAAGGACCTGACGTTCTGCTCAACATGATTTTCCCAGAGCAGAACAAGTGAAATTCCATGTCTGCTCCTGGAGTCTGGAAAAAGGTATGAGAGAAGAGAGTAAGGAGACTGCCCCTTCCTTCTTTCCAGAAGGCTCTAAGTTAAGCCCAGTCACCTCAAGACAAGACAA